GTAGGTAGTAGTAAGTAGGGTCGTAGTCGTTAGGTCGTAGGTCGTAGGTCCGCAGGTAGTAGGAAGTAGTGTCAGTTAGCAGGTAAGTAGGTAGAAAGCAGTAGTAGTAGTATAGTAGTATAAGTATAGTAGTATAAAGTCTAGTAGTAGGTAAAGTCGTAGTAGTAGTTGTATAGATAGTAAGGTAGTATAGGTAGTAGTAATAAAGTAGTCGTACGTATAAATAGTAGTAGTATTAGTAATTAATAGTAGAAAGTAGTAGTAGTAGTAGTAGTAGCAAGTAGTAAGCAGTAGTAGTAGGAGGAGGGAGTAGTAGAGTAGTCGTAGACGTCAGACGTAGTAAAAGTAGTAGTAGTAGTAGTAGTAGTAGTAGTAGTAGTAGGTAGTAGGTAGTAGTAGTAGCAGTAGTAGTAGTAGTAGTCGTAGTAGAAGTAGTAGTAGTAGTAGTAGCAGCAGGTAGTAGTAGGCAGTAGTAGATAGTAGTAGGTGGTAGTAGGTGGTAATACGTGGTAGTAGTAGTAGTAGTAGTAGTAGTAGTAGTCGTAGTAGTAGTAGTAGTAGTAGTAGTAGTAGGTAGGTACGTAGGTAGGTAGGTAGGTAGGTAGGTAGGTAGGTAGGTAGGTAGGTAGGTAGGTAGGTAGGTAGTAGTAGTAGTAGTAGTGGTAGTAGTCGTAATAGTAGTAGTAGTAGTAGCAAGTAGCATTCGTAATAGCAGTAGCAGTCGCAGTAGTAGTAGTAGCAGCAGTAGTGGTAGTAGTAGTAGTAGTAGTAGTAGTAGTAGTGGTGGTGGTGGTGGTGGTGGTGGTGGTGGTGGCAGTGGTAGTAGTAGTAGTAGTAGTAGTAGTAGTAACCCCATGCCGAGGATAATAACGTACCCCCCCCCCTTAAGTCGTTCGAGGTCTTTTTTTTCCAAATCGTCGGCCTAGAAGGGTTTCAAATATAGGCGGAGGGCGCGGAGGCCGAACTTCATTATCACTGGGAAAGTTCGCCATCGAGGTAACTTCCTTCTTATGTTGGGATAACAACATCAAGCGAGTGCTTAAGGAATCCTGTCCTGGTTATCCTCCTCCTGCTCCTCCTCCCTCCTCCTCCCTCCTCCCTCTTCCTTCCTCTCTCTCTCTCTCTTTCTCTCTGTTTCTTTGTGTTGCGTTATGTTTTCTCTCTCTCTCTCTGTCTCTCTCTCTCTCTCTCTGTCTTTCTTCCTCCTCTTCCCTCTGGCGCCCTGAACTTGCTTACCGCTGGGGTTGATTATCCTGGGAAAACTAAGCGCATGAGCTACCCTACACGAGCAGATGACAATAAATGTTAATTTCCATTAAGCGCTTACACATTAAATCTAATAAGTTTTCAACTTTGGATTTTTGATCATACCTCCTGCTCTGCTTCTCCTGCTCTTCCTCCGCCTCATCCTTCTCCTCTTCCTCTTCGTATTTCTTTATATTTCCATTTCTATTTAGTTGTCTTCTTGTTTCCCTGGTCCCCTGAACTTGTTTATCGCTGGGGGTGATTATCCGGGGAAAACTAAGCACATGAACTACCCCTACACGGACAGATGCAAATTTTAATTTGCATTAAGCGCTTACAAATTAAATCTAATAAGTTTTGGACTTTGGATTTTTGCTTCCTCACTCTTCTCTCCTTCCTCTTTGCCGAGGATGTCTCAAGCGACACGAGCAAATCTTTCGAGGAAATCTCCAGCGAAGTAAGCGATAGTCCATGGATGTCTCAAGCGAAACAAACAAATATCCCGAGGATGTCCCAAGCGAAACAAGCAATTCGTTGATGATGTCTCAAGCGAAACGAGAGATTTGTCGAGGATGCCTCGAGCGAAACAAGCAATGATTTCAAGGATGTCTCAAGCGAAATACGCAATAATTTGAAGATGTCTCAAGCGAAACGGACAAATATTTCGAGGATGTCTCAAGCGAAACCAGCAATCCGTTGAGGATGTCTCAACCGAGACAAATCATTTTTGAGGATGTCTCATAAAGGACCAAAGACCAAGGATCCTCAAGATATCTTTGGCTTTTCCCTCTTGGTATCTCTTTCTGCTGGCTCTGGCGGGCAACTTTTATTAGCTCCCCGAAAACCCCGAACTTTATAACCCCTGTGTGTATTATCCGCGGCATATGGTTAGTAGTAGTAGTAGTAGTAGTAGTAGTAGTAATAGTAGTAGTAGTAGTAGTAGTAGTAGTAGTAGTAGTAGTAGTAGTAGTGCAGTAGTACTAGTCGCCATCGTCGTAGTAGTAGTAGTAGTAGTAGCAGCAGCAGCAGCAGCAGTAGTAGTAGTAGTAGTAGTAGTAGTTGTAGTAGTAGTAGTAGTAGTAGTGGTAGTAGTAGTAGTAGTACTACTACTATTACTAGTAGTAATA